TGTTTAGTCCTCTTGTTTCCTTCTCCTCTGAGTTGTGTCCAGTTGTTTTATGGCAATCAAATGAGACAGGGTGGTGCCCTCACCCACCCTGACAGAGAGGGTGGCAAGGAGGGCCCGGCTGCTTCTCCATGCAGCCAGACCCTGACACCATTCCCCCCAGCACCAGATATAATACTGCCATACTTTCCCTGGTAGTGCATGGTTCTCACATTTACTCCAAACAGCTGTCATCAAAGCAACTTAGGGAGAAATTGAACGTTGGAGGAAAAGTGTCAAAAGACTTTGCACTGGATGTTTTAGGAGTAAGGGGGGGCATCATAGTGATAGCATAAAACATTTGTGTGGACTTATCTATAATCTCGAGGTGCCTCCCCCGTATGACCACACATACCCGTTTAAGGTCAGCAGCAGAACCGTCTTATCTTCCATCATGAGAACCATTTGTATGGGCGAGGGGCAGCATGTTCTGAGTAATAACATTAGTGGTTGGATCTCCCAGGTATTTTTTGGGTCTTCCTGGAGACTGCTGAAAAATGAACTTTAGGAAGCAATTTTACAACCTACATGCATGATGCTGTTTGTTTGAAATGGTTTATATTGAGTTGCTATATTTTAATACGAATGTGCTATACATGCAAATAAAAAATAAACATATTGATTGATTTACTCTTCTGTTGCTGGCTCAATTCATATCTTAGCTGGCTACTTGGCATCATCTTCAGATTTCTTGACTTCACACTTTTTGCTTTGTCTGATGAACAAAATAGCAAACTGTTCTCTTCCTTCCTTCAGCCAGCAGCGGTTTGAAAATTCTTCAAGTTTTTTTCTGAATGTCAAGGCCTTCACACACATAGATATACCAACTCTGGAAAATCTCTTTTCTTAATGAATCTCATGGTTTGAAGCTTTCCTGACTGAAATAAAGCACAGATTTCAGGTTGCAGAAACTGCTTTTTTTTTTTCTTTACTAGAAGCTCCAAAGCTATCAGCTGGTGCTAGATGCTAAAGCAAGGCTCACTTTCCATAAATATTTTATGGAATTGTTTGGTGAGGAGCAACTACTTTAGTTCTGGAATTTGTCTGAGTTCCAGAACTAAATTACTCTCACAATTCTCCAACATTAAAACCCACTGTTGGATATCCTCTGCTGAAGCAGCATAATTGGGGGGGGGGGG